TATTCACTTTTGCCAATTAATGGGGGAGATGACCTGATACTCTCTAGAGGCAGTACATGGCTAAGTTGGGTGAAAAGATACTGGAACAGGGAAGTAGCGTCTTGGCTTTCCTAGTAAAAGCCATAGGTGAGTATTGGTTAATGAATTCTGAGCTGGTGTTTGATGGAAAACTCAGGCCTTGAAGTCTTTCATGAATAAATCCATTAGCAAACCCTTTAAAAAGGTCTAACTCAATTTTCCTTCCCATTACCTCCAAAATGGATTCTAGCACAAAGCCAGTTAAAAGCAATAGGGAGGGCAAAACCTGACCAGAACCTGCCAGTAGTTTTCCTCTCAGTTGGATGGGAGGTGAGGCCATGCATGTGATGGAGGATGATTGCATCCCATTTTATCTGTACTTGTAGATTTAAAGCACAAGAAGAGGCTTCCTGGGGAACAGCTACTTCCCTGGTTCTCTCTCCAAATCCATGTGATGACATGAAGACAGACTAGGATTGAAGCTGTGAGCTGGTGGTGTTGCTTTTGCTCTCTTCTTGTTAGTATCGAGTATTTTACCACTAATAAACACATTTGTGGGAAAAGAAATCACATGCTCTAGTGTGCCATTGGCACATAGCGTATGTTTTTGTAGGTAAGAGACCCAACCTGCTTTGTTTCAGTGCCTGGAGTAAGGGCTCTTTTATCTATAGAGCTAGGGCACTACGGAGAATCACTATGGAGCATTCTCCTTGAAGCAAAAAGCAGACATTGCTTCTAATATAACACATTTCCATGGGCTCTGGTGGCATGCAGGGGTAAGTTTTCCTTTCTCCCACACCAGGGTTGCAGCAGTAATTCTCTCCACCTGCTGTGGGGAAGCCATGGATGGCTGATCTTTTGAGGAGAGTTCAGCTCAGGATTATACCAGTAGGTCTGTTAGGTACTGAATAATGTATCCTGGCAGCAACGTTTCAGTCGGTGACACAAATGTGACATTTGCCTGCATCATGTCTTTTTTCATCTGCTTCCCTTAGATCAAGGATGCTTAAAATCTCTGTGGTGTTTTGGATGACTGGTCATCTGTGGAAAGGGGGCTGGTTGAAGGTGAAACGGCCAAGACAGTTGCATCAAAACATCCTCGGAGAAACAAAGAGATCCCGAACGTGAACATGGCCCTTTCCCCAATAACTTGTATGTGATGTGCAACCATGAAATGAAGCATATCAGGGAATAAAAGCAAGGGGGCATGATGCACACTGGTGCTTGTTTGAGTGCTTTGAGGATCATCTGCCTGTCAGAGCCATACGGTGAAACTGCTTGGGGTAACTACAGACTTAACAGAGTAAGATCTGCAACTCCAGGTGCCACAGAGGAAATAATTCTTATGATCAGTGAGGTTGCAGCATTACTTCTTGGGGTGGTTAGTAAGAGGTTTCTTCTAAGGTTGAGAAAAGGCCCAAAAAGAGGAACAGGTAAAGCCAAAATACCCCAAACATCTGTGACCTATGCTTAATTAAATTTCATGCTTGTCAGTTCCCCAGAGCTTTTTGGTACTCTATGTATCTTGACTTAAGTAATGAAGGCAATAATACTTGTGTACTGGAGGCAGTGAAATGTGTTCTTGGTAAAACTAGGTCAGCATCAGGGTTTTGCATGGTTCAGACAGTCATCTTCTGATGAAGTTTGAGAGAAACTAGACTTCACAAACTCATCTTCAGGGCAGTTGGCCTGTGATGGCCTTGCTGTCTAACAGGATGCTCCTGCTGAGGTTGACTTCAGAAGTCATCCAGATTTTTGTTTTCTACAGAGAAAGAAAAAGAGATCACTAGTCTGTGAACTGATGGGAGCAAGGTCCTCAAAAATCCTGAACTTGTAGCCCTGAGCTGTCTTCCCCCAGCTGTCAGCCTCAAGAGGAGGCTTCTGAAATCCTTTCCTTCTTTAAACTCTATGAATTCATCCTTTCTGCACATCTCCTGGTGGGACTGATGCCCTAAACGCTGTTCCCACCATTTTTCATAGAAACTACATCTAGATGCTAACAGATCTGCATGGAAGAGTTCAGTGAATTGCTTATTTTGATGATGATTTCTGGCCATCCTCCATCAGTCCTACATCTCTGAGGGGATTACCCATGTGGGGGCACTTGGATCTGGCAAGCTCTGTGGGAAAATCCCTTGTGTGGTTGTTTTCCTAATTGCTTTGCAAAACAGGACAGTGCTGGGCTGCTCAGTTACTTGAGATGATGAGCAAATCTGGACAAATCAAGGTGATTCCACCAAATGAAAGCTATAGGAGATAGACTTCCCAAAGTGAAGAAACTAACTTAGCTGTGTGGTTGTCAGCCTGTCAGTTATCTCCTAGCCTTTGTGCCAGACTGTCCAAGCACTGAGTGCTGCTGCGATTGCTTCAATTTACTCTATTTACATGCGTAGGAGGAGATGGGGGTGGGAAAATTGGTATTTGCCTCCCCATCGAAGTGGAGGAACTGGAGAAGCAGGGGAGTGCGCAGAGCAGTTTCCAGAACCACAGACTGAAGGATAATTGTAGAAACCAAATGCATCACAGAAAACCCAATTGTAATAAATTGGCCAAGAAGCTTAAAACTTTTGCTGTGCATTGCAGCAAACCAAGAATTAATTCCTGGGAGCAGACAAGGCCCCAGGCTGGCAGAAGGTTAATGTAATTGGCTCTGGGTGCACTCAGACTGCATTGGCATCTCAGTGCCTTGGCACTTGAGAGGGTAACAAAGAAATGGGAGCTCACCCCACCAGCTACAGCACTAGAACTGATAGGATTTGGTGCGTGTTAAAGCAACAATGATCCTAGTGTGTGGCCTCTGAATGATCACAGAACAAGTGAGCAAATATAGACAATCATACACCAATAGACATGGCAAAGGAACGGACAAAGTGGTCTCAAGCTGAAAGACTCGGAATAGGCTCTAGAGCAAGGATATATGATTACTGGCTGAGACGTGGGACTCTGCCCGGACTGGGAGGATCGCAGGCATCAGACTTTGTCTTGTTCAGCTCTTGTTAAAATGGATTAGCAATGAGAACCTAGATCATGTGCTGGAGATGCCCTTATGGATGTGGTTTTGTTTTGTTGGGTTTTCTTAGTTTGGTTTGTTGGGGTGGTTTTGTGTTGTAGTTGTGGGGTTTTTGTGGTTGGGTTTGTTTTCTGGGTTTTGTTTGGTTGGTTTGTTTTGCTTTTTTGAGTTGGACGGGTTTTTTGGTTGTTTTGTTCTTTAAGCTGTAGCTACTCTCTCCTTCCATGACAGGAACAGGACTAAATGCTGGAGTAAGAAAGGTGGAGGTATTAGTCATAGTTTGCTTGACAGGGCCGTACTTAAGGCAGTCTGAATTAGTTTACTGCTAGGGAAGGTAATGTGGGGTAATGAACATAAATTAAACCATTTTCCTCCTCTGTCTCAGCCTGGCTTGTGGTGAAGACATGATGCAATATAGGGTTTTCCATGCTTTACAAGCCTTGACAGAATTAGATGTCACAACCATCTACATGGAAATAATAATGTGTGGACTCAATACGACACTTCAGATTTGCCAGTGGAGTATCTCCTGTACTCATGCTGTCCTGCCCAGTGGGCTGCAAGTGTCCTATACTGTTCTTGCTTCTTCCAAACACGTCACGTTGAGGTAGACCCCCTACAGTAAACAGAGGCTTTGGGATCCTCCTTTTTTGTCTTTGTTGATGCATGGACGAGCTGATGTGCTGACTGTCAATGGGATATATCCATTTTTGCAACCTTTCAGATCTAGCTAGCTAAGAAAAAGAGGAGTACGTGTTTTCTCTGTGCTTTCTTTTGGTCTGCCTTCAGGGGTCTTCGTAGGGATATCTGGAGCTGCTTTGTTTCTTTGAGAATCATTTGTTGCCCAGGGTCTGAAGTAATAGATCTGGAGCTCTTCTTTAAGCGTTTTCTATATGAAATACAAAGCACTTTGTTCCTGGGATACTGGGTGCACCCGGAGCAATGCAGTGCTCCAAGTGAGAGCTGCACAGGAGATGCAGAGCTCCTGCTGCGTGTGCAGTTGCATAGCAGTCACGTGCTCCAACAACAGGAAGTCAGCACTTTCTACTACACCTTGTGTAGGTAGAGGGCAGGTTGCCCGAGTATTGAAGGGGTTGTCTTGCTGTTACATTGCAGCAGTGTCAAAAATCTTCTGGAAGTCCTATGCTGCATTCAATAGGGTATGCTGCTAAAAGCTCCAGTATCCTGAGACCCCAGTATCTGTTCACATGCATGGATTGGGTTCTTCTCTGGCTAGCATCTACAAAAGGTTTTTTGTAGCTGGAGTTGGTATCTTTATGTGTAACTGATCTGTTTATCACCAATCATTGTGAATAATTTGCCTCTGGATAACTGCTGGTAATTGCACCTGGAACCTGATGGTGAGGAGGCTTGTTCGTGTATTATCCATGTTGTAGTTGCTGACTGCTTACTCTTTATATACATATATTCTATCCATGCATGCATTTACTTCAGAAGGGGCCTAAGGAAAATGTATTTGAAGTGCATGTGTTGTTTCTAAGCTTGTCCTGATTAACTCTGGGGAGAATGTGATACACAGGCCAGGAGCAACAGAGACATTTTTATTAACTGCTTTGGCTCTGTGGGAAGCACAGTGAACCTCTGAATGTGTTTCCAAGGGGTCACACAGACTCTTATTTCATTTTTATCTGAAAAGCAAAGGCCAGTTCTTCCACGTGAGCTTTTAAATCAGAAGCACAATTTAGGGAAATCCATCAGGATTGCTGCATGCTGCATAAGACCCGACAGTTCTCTGCTTTCTGTCTCGGTTTCCCTGTTGGGATGGTTGCTGTGCAGAATGGGACTGTCCTTTTCTCAGACAGCACTGTACCCAAGGGCAGCTCTGGGCTGAGGTATCACTGCTGTCTTGGTGCTGGATGCTGCTTCTGCCTATACTCGTGCAGCTAATGCAGAAGGTCCATAGACTTTGAAGTCTGCTTTTTCCTTTCATCCTGTTACTGCAGAGCTAACAGACTGGTGCACTGATCCTGTGTGCAGATGTCTGCATTGCCTGAAAAGAGCTCTTCACTCCGAGTAATCCAGAGATGTGTTTGTAATGAGATACTTGACAAACTGTTGTAACTTGACAATTCCTCACAGTCATAGGAAAATACCTGTACCAGGTGTTTCTTAAGGTAAGTCGTCTGTGGTCCAGCAACTTTCCAGGCTACTTCAGTGGTATAAAATTACCACCACAAAATGCTTCCATAGATAAAAGAGTAAGAACTTTTCTGTTATATTTACAATGCATAATCTCCTGGGTAGTAGTTAGGTGTATGAACACTACACTGGCATTTCCTCTTTAAACATTGTTATTTTATTGCTTTATCTATCTAGAGGAGAGCAGAAATTATCTTTTAATTACAACGAATTTAATGCTATTGGTTATATAGCACTTTAGCTCACACGCAGCATGACAAAGCTTAGAATTTAGTATAGTCCTATGATGCATCATTGATTCATCTTTTCATCCTGGAGTGCCAAGTATTTCCACATTGTTGCTAAAAGCAGGTAAAAGATTATAAGCAGGAGATGTTTAGACTGACTTAGTCAAAAAAGAATCAAAATAGGACTACATAGGGAGGCATGGGAAGGCAGGTCATGCTAAGGCTTTGCCATGCCGTTCCTGAGAAGAAGAAGAAAGAATAGGAATAAATACTCTGTCATTATCAAAACACAACACTATAACGTGAAGAGGTGGAGTAATTTATCTGTAAGTAATAGACTGACCTATTCAGAACTGCAGTTTTAATGTAAGGCTAACCTTTGAAAATGGATCAAGTGATATAAATTATTAAGGAACAGGCATTCGTCAGATAGATGGTCTCTATTAGTAATTTTATGCATGAATAGTTATCTTCAAAGGTAGAGCTGCTGTCTGCTGAGGAAGAAAGTGCAAAAGCAGATTACCTGAAGCTGATGTGTAAGGCTGACTTTCATTCTGTGTGTTCTAATCCAGTAAAAACAAAAGGCTGAAGCAGGGTCATCTCTCTTGCTACCCAGCCCATGCAGCTCTTAAATTCTCTTGCTTGCAGAGGAAACCCCTGTTGCTGATGTTCCTAAAACATCTTCCACTTCTGCATGGAAAAGTAGGAAAGCAAAGGTAACCTTAAGCTATGTGTTCCTAGCCTGTTTGCTCCAGTAAGCAAAACCAACTTCAGGCTTTTCCTGGTTTCTTCTGTCTCCAGCTTTTTGTGTGTCTTGTCTTCCAGTCACAGATGCTGCTATTGCTCAGCTTTTGAATGTGGGTTTGAAAGGGGTATAATACCAATGCATAGAGGGTATTACAGGCTTTCCTCCATCCTTTAACCACACTGATGTCTGTAGTGCTTTGGGAAGAAGTGCGTACACTGAAGCACATCCCTGTTAAATGGGACTTATACCCAGCACATGATGCTTTTTCACACAGTCCCTGCTCTGCTTATTTTGCATAGTGACTTTTAGCCATTGTGTTACCTCCACATCATAATATAATGTATTTGTTCACTTCTGACATCTTTGTTCACTCCAGAGGTGAAAGGGGAACAATCTACAGTGTGTCTCAAATTCTTCTAGATTCTGACAGGCAACATAAATAATCATATCAGGGAAGACACCTTTCACATCCAAAAGAATCTAGAAACTGCCCACATGTACATGAGCATCTCTTCTCAGCAGGAATCCTCCTTTTCTCTTTTCCCAAGCACCAGTCTCATCTATATTTCCATTTGAATTAAGAAAAGGTTTTGAAGGGAACTGGAATTTATGACCCCTCTGAAAATATCTACAAAGAGATTAAGTTTCTGCATCCTATTTTCTTCAAATGGCAGGGAAAAAATGGAAACATAAACATATGAACATCACTCCAGTGTCTGGAATCTTACTGATTTCTCTCTTTTCCTCCTTTTTCTTCACTAGTTCATGTGTGAAGATGAATGTTTTGTGGTTAAAATGCTGGAGTGGGATGCAAATGATGCCAGCTTAAACTTCCAGATATGTTAAAGGCTTCCTCTGTGATACCATTAAATAGCTCTGTGATCTCTGCATGTACTTTTAGCTACAAAAAGTATCTAAAAATATGACGTCCACATTATTTTTATGATTTAGACAATCATAAACCAGACTCTGGATATTTAAAACCCACTCACTTTGTTTCTTTGAACAAAATACCTCCTGTTTGTGTTGAACTGATACAGGTTAGACTTTGAAAAAAAGATAAGCATTTGGCGTACTAATTTGAGGAGCAACAGTTTTCAGTAGCCTGGAACCCTTTGCAGTATATTGATGTTTCAATTTGTACAGAGTAGCAGCTGCCCTTAATGATAAAGCAACTGCTCTGCTCTGTGATAATTTGATGTGGCAGCAGTAGTCTTGTGGAATGCGACATGACAACTTGAAATAACAACATGCAGATACGATGCCACAGACATGTCATGAAATAACATCAATTACTAGAAATTATAGGAAAACATCTTCAGAGCAAAAATATTGAGACAAAAAGTTGTCATCGCACCAGAAGCTGAGAGGAATATGCTAGTTTATGAAATTCCTACTAGAAACAGTTTAGTTTAGTTTGACTTTTTATAATTTGACTTCTTAAAATCGGCACATTCATCACTAGACTAACTTGTCATATACAAAAGTAAGATGATTTTCTAGTATCTGCAATGCTTTTTAGTGTAAATTCTTTCAGGCTATTGTCATGTGTGTGACCATGCTCAAAAGGCCGTGAAGGCTATGCCCACATTAACAAGTAATCTATCTCAACAGGAACGCATGTAGAGCAAAACAGTGCTGAAGGTCCGGGTTCCCCTCTACAAACATTTCAGAGGATTTACTTCAGGTAGCTGTAGTCTGACTTGTCTGCTGGCCACCGTTTGCTGGAGGGCAGTAGGTGAGCTCCTGGAGTGCATCTTCCAGTCTAATTTTATCCTGAATTAAAATGTGGAGCTCCAATTCAGTCTATGAGGGGAACCAGAGCCCAGCAAGTGGAGATAATCAGGAAAGCATCTTCATAAAGCACACCTTATTTCATAATGAAGCACTAACACATGAATGTCCAAAGACATCTGGGCTGTCTGAGTGCTTCCAAACGATGAACTAAATTGTTTATTCAAACAATCAGCTTAATCCTGTTGGAGGTAAGAGAATTATCGCTGTGCCGATTAGAATTGGATCAGTGGATGATCCTTTTATCCAGGAGCTTCCTTCATTTGATTGGGCTTTGCTGGTTCAAAGAAAATGGAAATTGTTTCTTAACTATCTCTGATGTTGAGTAATGGAAAAGCCAAAGCTTGACCTTTTTGAATCATTTCCATTACAAATAATGCCATTGTGGCCCCTCTTAGACACTGTGCTGGACAAATCTATATGCCAGTATCTATTCTGAACTTTATTCTCCTTGTCCTGCTCTCTCCAGCTTTCTCTTTCTGTAAAAGGAGAGACTGCTTCATTCTTCTACGAAGGCTTCTGCTGAACAAAAGCAACTGACTCTGAAAGTCATCCTCTGACATCAAACCCTTAGACTTTTCAAAGCATGGCTCAGGGTTTTAGATGTGAAGCTCCTACTGAATTTAATTGGAGCTGTGCAGCTGCATCAAACCTTTCAAGATGCATACCCTGAAATATTCATATTGCCTTTCTCTCTTTCCTTTCTCTTAGCCACATTTGTTAAAGTTTAAACGAAGTCGCTTCCAGTTCTTGTAGGTGCAAATCTGTGCTTGCATAGTCTATGAAGACATTAGCATTTAGACATTGAACACCCCTTGATTTGTATGCACCAATCACTTGGTAAACAGCTGAAGTGGTTGCATATAAGCTGTCAGTTAATTCTGGCTGCAGAAATTGATTCAATTTTTTAAAAGTCAAGCCCTATCAGGTATCTTCTCTTCTGTTACTTGCACAAAAAATGATTTAGATCCTAGCTTTTTAAAATCCCCCCAGTCCAGGTGGAAGTTTTCCTGTTGCTGGTTGGTTTGCTCTCAGTTTGCATGATCCTAAGGTAGTCCAAGGTTGCTTTCCTTTCAGAAGGAGAGCACAACAAGAGGTAGGGTATTAAAATATGGATGTATTCCCTCAGTTTGCACAGCACCCTCAAACAGAAGGTCTGGGGCAGGGCTTGGCTTTCTGTGGTGAGTTTGTTCAGTGAGTGAGAGAAAGGGGTATGTGAGTGCTAGGCATAAGGGTTCTACAGTGTAATAAGGATGGCATATAAGAAGGATTATATCACTCTTTAGAGCCACACATGTATTGAGTATCTAATAGAGGAATCTCATCTTCAGATATGGCTTCAGAAATAATTATAGTCTGTTCTTATGACCCTCCAGAACCAGTCATAATCTTATTTTCAAGCTTACCTGTCTCTGAAGGCTGCTTAACATGGAAGAGTTCCTAATTTGTTGACTGTAAAGCAGCTCCCACTTTCTGCTTGAAGGTGGGAGTGCTTCTGTTTATAAGGAAAAGCCCAGGAGAAACTACAAGGAATGCAGCTCTCTAGTCTCTGTCTCTGCTGATATGCTGCTCAGCCTTGATTCAGTAACCTGTTGCCGCCTCAGTCTACCCATCAGTAAAATGGATATAAGGGTAAAAGTAAGAATAATGAAGGTCAATCTGTGGCAAAACCTGACTTTTTCATGGCACTCACCATTTCTCAGAGTTGCTGATACTGCAAGCATATATGAGTTCCAGTGCTTCATAATTCCCTGCTTATTAGGTGTACTGAATTAACTCACCACATGCATGGCTCTAATCTACTGCAAACACAGAGTGAAATGCATTATCTTAAACCACCATGAAGGCAAGCTAGCTGGTAAGCAGAAAATCAGAAAGATCTGATTACCAATTTGTTTGTAATTGTGGGTCCACACCCATAATTCATGTTTCTGGGCTGATCTGAGTCCTTCAGAAGCAAAGGGTATTAGGAGAACTTGTACTTTGGTTTGTTGCTGTCAGGCTTTGTCAAATCTCTTGCATGAAAGGGTTCAGAAACATTGTTTTATCCTTCAGCCCAGGAAAGAATTGCCTCATCAGCAAGGTGCTTCTATTTTAGCTGCCTAACTTTCTAATTGAATTTAGAATATAACAGAATCATCACTAGCAGCACTGCAAACCTTCCCAGTTTGATTTGGATAATTCTGCCTCGCTGCTGCAGGGGTTTTCTACATACTTTTGGGAATACCCCAGGAGAAATGCAAATTGTGACACAGAATTAGTTACCTCTCTGCAACAGCCAACAAGATCTAAGTACGCTCTCTGTGTCTCTGTCTCCTTCTGATTTCACTTGTCATGTGTTTATATTGGCAATTGTTTTGTATAGATAGACTTGTAGTGTTAATATTCTGCTTTGATAATATTACTCTTCAGGAATCTTAATGAGTGGCTTATGTATGTGGCATCTTTAAAGCCTTCCACTGATGGTATTTATTCTTTATTTTCTTTAAGTGGTGAAGGAGCACTGCTGAAGCCCCCTTGGGTAAACAGTGTTTAAAGTAGTCCATGCATTTTAATTAGAAAAGAAATACATAGATAAGGATGAAAGATTTGTTTTCCTCAGGCAAACCATGAGAACATCAGGCCCACAGGTAGCTTAGTTTAACTCCAGAGAGTTTACATTTATATCTCCTTCTCTAAATATTAGAAACTCCATTCTGATACAAGCGGGACAAATTAAGGTAAGATAAAGGTGTCTTCTCTGCTGGAGGCTTAAGGTCCTTCTTACTGTACATTATTAAGGTGTCCTGCATAGGGGAGGGGGGGGAAAAGCAAAACTAGAAAAAGAAAACTGCACCGCAATCTATGTATGAGACTCTGTCCACAGGAAAACATGGGTTATTTTAACTAATGATTGGTTATGGAAGTGGGTTGGTTGTGTTTTTCCTGGTCATGAACCAGTGGGTCCTCAAAGCATATTTATATGTTTTAATTATTAAAATCAGTTTGCTGTGTTGGCAAGCTTCTTGTAGAAGATGCACTTCTGGTATTCGCCTTTGCTGCGTAGCTGTAGGCTAATATTTAAGTTCTTGAGTAGGTTTGGTTTTGCTTTTGTTTTTAAACTTGAGGGTTTTTAAGCCTCTTTTGAGAGCTAAATGACTAGCCTGTGGTTAAACAGCAAATATGCAAGTACTTCTTCAGTATGCAGGGGGTATGTTTTCAAGTGGAAGGTCAGCAATGAGTTGTAGAGGCAGGAAATTTTTCAGAGCCTGCATCAGTCCAGTCACTTGAACTTAGAGCAAGGGTTGCACTTTGCTTTTGGGAGGAGTACCTTAAAGATTGAGGGAAGGTAAAGCCATGCACAGAAAAGTCTGAAGAAAGATGTTTTGTTATTACTTTCCTAGCTGCTGTAGTGTTCCCTGTCTTTGGAAGGGTTTGGAGACTGATGTGTGTAGAGAGCAACAAGGTTTGCTGTTGCTGGAGAACATCAGGAACACAAGGAAGGTGCTGCATGTTCACAGGGCTACATTCATTTCCACACCATTTTCTAACTTTTCTAATGATGTTTTCAGCTCAGGAACAAGAAAATCTGGATGACTTGGCTGAGATCAAATAGAAGGGACACAAATTGATTGTAGGCCCCTGGATGGCCTCCTGCTTCTCAGTGAGAAGGCTGAGCCATGGATGTTGCTGCTTCCTCTTCTGCCTTTCAGAAGCAGCCAAAATAAGGGTGAATGACTGAACAGTGGGATTTTTCTAAATGCCTGCCTTGAGACCATTGTCAGCACAGCTCACAGATGCTGTTAGGTTAGATATAAAGGAAGGCATTATACCTTGCAGTGTTCATTGTGTAGGAGCTGGTCTTATAAGGTGTCTGGTCCTGTACTGTGACAGACTGCATATAGGCACATCACCCGTATGTTCTACTTTAGAAGAAGGCTGAATATGCTGCAGAACTTGATTGAGATCCTGTGATACCAGAATTAACTCATGTATATTGTGCATTATTCAGTAAAGCAAAATGTCTGGGAGAGGTGTCATCTCCAAATACGTGTAAGATTGATTTGATTTCAAGACCTAGGTCAGATTCTTTAGTAATACTAAGCCCGAGGCCTAAATGGGAAAGGACAGTATCTGCTCTCTAGGTTGTGCACTGATCTAGGTAGCCTCTGGGCTGCTCTAATTAATCTCTCCCTTGCTTCGGGATATTCAGAGCAAGAAGAGCAGGCTGGCAGCCAGAACCATTAGGTCTGTGCCAGATGAGGTTCCTACATGCTGGTGGGGTCTGTAGGTCTGCCTCCCAAACCCTTTGCTGTCCTGATGCCATCTGATTGGGACAGCCCAGAGCTTTACATGAAACATTCTGAAACATGTGCCAGGACTGTAACCATCATTGTGTGCAATTGTGGCACACACATAGGTAGATTTGCTAAAGAGGATAATGTGGAAGAGCCTTCCATTTCCTAAGCAGAAGCCTTTGTTTTAGAAGCCTCTGCCATTTACTGGTCATTTCTTGTGGTCTTTTGAAAAATATCAGTGCTGTCTCCAACCTAATTAGCAGAGTAAAAGATGAGTTATCACTTACCAAGGCTTTGATTGCTTTTTCAGCTTTGTATGGCCTCTTGGCTGGTAGGTGGAATTGTGTACAAGATGGGCCTTTTTTTAGGGAAAGATATATATAAAAAAATAAAACAAATAAAGGAGCCAAAAATTCAACTCCCAATTCTGTGCTTTAATGTTTTACAGTTTTGCAGGGTTTTTTGACATAAGGTCATAGTAGTTCTCCTTTAGAAATCAGGAAAAATAAAATCTCATTTAAGTCTATCTTTAGGTTCATATTTCTTAAAAATGTATCCCTTGAGAATGAAGACGCAGGTTCCCAAAGTCTAAAACGCAAGAGTCAGCAGGAGAAACAGCTCGCTTGAAAACAATCTGAGGAGTAATTATTAATTAATGTACAAAAAAAGATTCGGTGTGCAGAAATCTCTGCCTTTCTCTCATTTTTATCACGGATTTCCTCTTCTTCTGGACTTCAGATGCAGCTCCGAACAACCCAGCTTATGTTGTGTTTCTGCAGATACAAATAATCAGAAGAGAACAGGTCATATGTTTTGACAGATACCACATAAAAGGAAACGTTTAGACTGGCATACCCATACTCAAATTTGATTACAGGGAATTAAGTTTCTTCAAAGCAAATGGCTTTCTTTTACTTCTCGGTATTTCTCATGCAATTAGCAAGTTGGTTCTATTAACTCTCTTGACAGACAGTATTACGGATCTTATCAGCTTTCACTTGTGTATGCAGGGCTTTATTAGCTTCTTGTTTGCTTATGAACTTCTTTGTTGACGATAAAATTGGTGGGTAAGTGTGGGACATACGTCAGGGTAGGACGCTGTTTGCTTCGCTTATCAATAAATAACAAACTTTTGGCAAATAAATAAGAGCGACAAGGGAGCTGGTGGGTCTCAGGGTTTCTTTTGCCACTGTTGGCACTTGCTCGTGTTGCTAAGTTACTGCAGCTCCTGGCTTCTACTTTAGAGAGAAGAAATTATTTTTACATATATAATGAACACAGTACCAGGGACTCCCAGAGCTGTGCTGGAAGTGACTGTAATACAGGGGGGATTGTGAATGCAGTCTGAAAGCCAATGCTGCAGAACACTGGTCTAATACAAAACTAGGCCCTACCATCACATTACAATAACAAAGGTGGGCATATTATTTATTTTTGTCCAAAATGCCTTAAAAATAGCAAGCAGCAATAATGAACCACTGGACTGGATGGTACCTGCCTCTGTCACTTGCAGGGTATAGGCTGAGAATGGTGGTTTTTCTGGGAATGATCATGACTAGAAGTAAAACTTCCAAATTAACTTCCCTGAAGAGAAAATATTCCCAGAAGAAATCGTATTTCCTTACTGAAAACTTAGTTCTTTGAATCACTAGTCAAAAGTATTTATTATTCCTGATATTGCAACAGTGAGTTCATTATTACAACTATGAAAATAACAAGCAGTAATGCCTAATTCCCTAAGGAGGAGTTTTAAACTCCCTGTCAAGTTACCCAGCATGGTCCTTGCTATTCCTTTTTCTGAGGCAAAGGGAAACTGAGTGGTATTACTTAGGGTTCAGTTGCTTTGGTGTTACAAAGGCTGAAGCTCTGAACTGAAAAAAGGAATCAGTTTTCATACTGGGAAATACACAAAGAGTTTTATTGATATTCCAGTTGGTGAGAGGAAAACATTATTTTCCTGCTGGTTAGAAGTTGCACTTTACCATCCATTGCTGGGCAATGTAAGCCCTTTGAAAGGGCTGGAGTTCAACTCTACTTGGCTTCAGGCTTAACCTGCCTCTCTAGTGGAGGAGAGGAGTCCGGGGGTCAGATGGTGGGAGCATGTGACTCAAAGTTGCTGGGACACATTGGAGGATGGCCTGAGTCCAGGGAGATGAGCACAGTGTAGGTAGCTTAATGCAGAAAATTGCTAAGTAATGTGCTTTGGCAGCAGGTTCTCTGTCCAAGTGCTGTGAAATCATACAGGCCAGTGGGAGGGGAAGGGATGCCCTATACCAGAGGGTTTAAACCCAAAGAGATACAGCAACCACTGTGTCTACAGAAAAAGAAAACATGAATTTCTGGCCTTTAGTTAAGCTTCTGGTTTATATCAGTTAACAGTTTCAAGGTGCAGAAATTAACACAACATACTACTTGCCAGTTAGGCAAGAAGTCGGTAGATCCCAATGCAGCAGGAGGCGCGAGACCTTGATAGTATGCTCTGTAGTCTGAGTTCTTCTACCTGAATTTATTCTTTCATCTGGTCTTTCCTTTTCCTGCTGAAAAGGGTTCTGAAGGGAAGGGCTTTGTTTTTTTGTTTAAGAGTTCATAAAGTTGTCTCAGCTCTGCTTCTGATGGTGTCCATAGGTGTCCTCTTCCTGCTACAGATATTTCCATGGGGTTGTAGGGAATATTCTTGTCCATGCAAGGGAAATGGTCTGCTCTGCTCATTGGGAATCTGATAAAAGACTGCCAGTGGCTCTTTTTTTCTGGGTATCTCGGTTTTCTCTCGGGCTGAATTGTCTAAATTCTGGATTCATATATGTAAAAGAAGAAAGTATGTGAAACCTCAGGGACCCAGCTGGGGCGAAGCAGCAAGCCCCAGGACACCTGTCTAAGGGAAAAAGCAGAAAAGTTGTAAAGATGACACTAGTACTAAGCATTTCTTTTGCAGATGGTTACAGGTATAGACTGACTTGCACACACACTACCAGAGGCACTTTTCCCTTCATGCCCCCAGGAGCCAGCTTGGATGTCTGATTCATCTCTGCAGGCTGAGACAGAGCCATCCGGCTCTGAAAAATTGATTTCAAGGGGAATTCACTTGCTGTCTGAGCACAGCACTCCTCAGGACAGCTAGCCCTCTGCGGAAATCATCATAATTGTGCCTAGGCTTCTCAAAGAAGGCTGGATTTCCAGCCTCCCCTGGGATCTGGGCTCCTTATGCAGTGACATGGCTTTAGAGACATCCTTTCTTCTTAGAGCAGATGGATTCAGTGGGGGGTCTGAAGAAATGGGCTTTTGAAAGAGAACTGGTGAACATAATGGGGAGCAGGAAACTTTCTGTGTGGTTTTAAACTTGCTCCTCTGGAGTCTAAGACTATGCTGATGTCAAAATTTATAGGTAAGCCTCTATTGCAGAGAGAGGGTCTGGTTAAATCTCTGTCTTTCTCTGCTCAGCACTATTAGGGGTATTGCAAACCAAAATGAGAGCAGCAGATTGCAGCAGAGCTGCCATGGGTGAACCA